GTATTAGTTGAAATGGGAGAGCGGTCGATCACCGGACTGCATGGGATGATATGAATGGTGTGCGTAGAATCATACATGAAAAAGACTACACACATTTGACATGCTAACTCCCAGAGTGGGTAGATCCTCATTGCTCTTGTCGAAATCAGAATCTGCGAGGCGGACACAACCGATATTGCAACCGACGTGCGGCGGCGAGGTGGCGACGTGCGGCGACGAGCGGCGAGGGGCGTCGACGGCGACAACAAGCGCGGTGACCGACATCCAGGCCAAGAAGCAGCGACGGACGGCGGCGACGGGCATTGACGGCGACAGCAAACCTGCTGGACCGACAGCGAGGCCCAGTTCTTTGAACACAAGTAAGAACTCCTAAGTGCAAGCGTTGTTTCGGGAATGTACTTTCTTCTCTCTCTCTATCTCTCCCTCTCCCTAAATATCGAAACACATTCATTTGAAGGTATGCCTATGCAAATGTAGGTGCAATCTACGCGGTACAAACTACGTAGTGGAAGGGAGGTGGTGCAAGTTAGGAGGTGCAAGCTGTGTGCTGCAAGCTTTGCGATATACATTCGGTGGTGCAATCTATTCGTGGTGCGCGCTATGCGGCGTCGGCTATGTGGCGCACGGTCTGTGATGCAAAACATTGAGCGGACGGCAACGGGCGGCAACGGGACAGAACGTGGCGAAGCTTCCTGCTCCAGCCCAATCCCTTTGGGAGACACCTGCGGAGCCCCGAAGTGCAAGCCCTGTTTGCGGCAGGAGGGACATCTCGTTGGGGCCTCGCGGTCCTTGTGCGCTGAGGCCGCCGGAACCCACATGCAATCCATACATATATGTATATGTATATGTCCATGTTGTTTCGGAAGAGGAGGAGAGCACGGCCACAAGAACTCCCGCAGCGCGGCAGCCACCACAGTGCGAGACAATTCAACCGCAGCGTGAAGACCAGGAATGAACTAAGAACTGCACAGTTGTCCTCCCCAAGCGCATGCCGCAACGCGTGCATCGACCTTGTCCGGCAGAGCCCCCCGGGTCAAGCTGTATGTATATATCTATGTATATGTATATGTATATGTATATGTATATGTATATGTGTATCTGTCTACATTTAGATGTATAACATACATGGGTGTGTATATCCGCCGGCCCCCTCCGGGGGCGCAAGGCTGCGAAGGCGTGTGCGGTCTGCTGTCATGTGTTATGTGTTGTCATTTGTCGTTTGGCTTTTTGTCTCTCCAGTCCTGTTTCCTGCCTCCTGTTTACTGTCTGCTAGGGGGCCCCGCCGCGCCACCAAACAGCCAACGGGGGGGGCGAGCCTAAAATCCTGGCTGCTCTGGGCCATCACAGGATTCTCATGGTGACGCCACCGCGCGGCCAGAAGGGCCCGAGAGGCCTCCAAGATTGCCCGAAGAGGCTCCGAAGAGAGCCTCAGGAGGCCAAGACGGCCCAAGATGACCCCAAGATGTCCTACGAAGGATGGCCCCAAGACGGCCCAAGATGCCCCGAAGACGGCCCAAAAGCCTTCCCGAGAGGGCCCCACGAAGCAAGCACTAACGATTTCCCCAACGTTTTTGAAGGTTTTTGGCCTTCTCGCCTTTTTGGCTTTTTGACGCTCCGAGACGGACTAAGAGTTTCCCAAGATCGCCCCACGACGGCCCTAGAAGCCCCCATGACGGCCCAAGAGGCCCCCAAGACGGCCCCGAGACGGCCGAAGAGGGCTCCCAAAGGCGTCCCAGACGGACCAAAAGGGCCCTAAGACGGTCCCAAGAGAGGCCCAAGAGGGAGTCCACGAACCGAGAACTTAACCTTTCCGCCCCATGAGGCCCCCAGAAGGTCCCAAGAGGCCCCAAGAGTCTCCCAAGAGGCCCCCAAGAGGCCCCAAGGAGACCCCTAAGAGATCCAACATATGCCCCAAGAGGCTCCAAAACGACTTCCAAAAAGCTCCAACAATGACCCGCAGACGCTGCCGAGAAGCTTGCCACGCGAAGCACCCACGGCGCTATCCACGCAGCCGCACGCACTAGTAATAGGGGGGCCGGCGGCTGAGGGCGAAGCCCTTACGATCCGGCCGCTCCCGCCTGGCGGGTTGGGCCGTGCGAGACCTCTCTGACAAAGTGTTTGGCACAATCTTTGGCCCCCTTCGCCAGTGCCTGGTCAGAAACCTCCTGAAAGTCCCTCCGAGGGGGCCCCACTCTGCCGCCGGCCCCCCCCCTGGCCTCGACCCCCTGAACGTTTGGAACGGCCCGGGGACGACCCAAGAGCGTTCCAAGATGATCCAAGAGAGCCCCAGGACGGTCCAAGAGAGCCTCCAAACAGTTCCAGATCGCTCCAAGACGCCCAAGATGGCCCCCAGACGGCTCAAAACGCCTCCAAGACGCCCCAAGAGGCCTCCAAGAGCACCCCCAAGAGGGCCCCGAGAAGCAACGTTTATGGATTCTTCGATGGTTTTTGAAGGATTTGGGCGTTCTCGCCATTTTGGCTTCCCGACACTCCAAAACGGCCCAAGAGGCCCCAAAGATCGCCCCAAGAGGCCCCCAAGGGGGCTCCAAGACGGCCCAGGAAGGCACCAAGACGGCCCAAGAGGCCCCCTGAACGGCCCAAGAGGGTCCTGGGACGGCCCCAAGAGGGGGCCCAGACGGGGAACCCGAACGGACATTTCGAGCTTTCGGTTCTAAGAGGCCACTAGGAGGACCTAAGAGCCCCCCAGGAGGCTCCCAAGAGGCCCCAAGAGGCCCCCAAGAGCCCCCAAGAGGGTCCCAAGAGGCTCCCAAGAAGCCCCCAGGGGGCCCCTAAGAGGCACCTAAACTTCCCCGCAGAGGCCCCCGAGAGCCCTCTCGAGACCCCCAAAAACGTCCATGAGGACTCCGACTCAAAACGCAAGCATGGTGGGGGGATGGGCCGACGGCCATTTGATAGCTGGCATACGCGCCGCGTCACGACTTTCGATGCTGCGCACAACTTCGGCAAACTCCCAAGGAGCGGCCGGTGATGCGCCGCCGGCGTCCTCGATCTGGCCGCTCCCGCCCGGCTGGTTGGGCCGTGCGAGACCTCTCTGACAGAATGTTTGGCACAATCTTTAGCCCCTTTCGCCAGTGCCTGGTCAAAAACCTACCTGAAAGTCCCTCCGAGGGGGCCCCACTCTGCCGCCGGTCCCCCCTCCCCTGGGGCCCTTCAAGGTCCAGAACAGCCCGGGGACGACCCAAGAGCGCCCCAAGCCGGTCCAAGAGAGTCCCAACACGGTCCAAGAGAGCCTCCAAACGGCTCCAGATCGCCCCAAGACGCCCAAGATTGCCTCCAAACGGCCCAAAACGCCTAAAAGACAGCCCAAGAGGCCTCCAAGAGCACCCCCAAGAGAGCCCCAAGAGACCAAAAATATTGATCTTTCGATGGTTTTTGAAGGATCTTCGCGTTCTCGCCATGTCGGCTTACCGACGCTCCAAGACGGCCCAAGAGGCTCCGAGATCGCCCCACAACGGCCCAACAAGCTCCCAAGAGGGCTCCAAGACAGCCCAAGAGGGCCCCAAGATGGCCCAAGAGGCCCCCGTGACGGCCCAAGAGGGGCCCCATGACGGCCCCACGAGGGCGCCCAGAAGAGGAACCCGAATGAACATTTCGAGCTTTCGGTCCCAAGAGGCCCCCAGGAGGCTCTAAGATGCCCCCAGAGGCTCCCGAGAGGCCCCAAGAGAGCCCCAAGAGGCTGCAAGAGAGCCCCAAGAGGCTCCCCAAAGCCCCCAAGATGGCCCCCAAGAGGCACCTAAACTCCCCCGCAGGGGCCCCCGAGAGCCCTCTCGAGAGACCCCAGGAAGCGTCCATGAGGACTCCGACCCAAAACCCGAGCACGGTGGCGGGATGGGCCGACGGCTATTTGACAGCTGGCATACGCGCCGCGTCACGACTTTCGATGCTGCGCACCTCTTCGACAAACTCCCAGGGAGCGGCCAGTGATGCGCCGCCGGCGTCCTCGATGCTATATATATATATATATATGTACCTAGAGATATATACATACATCACTGTATGTATATATATATATATATATATATATATATATATATATTAGTTGGGTATAGGAATATACACATATATATACATATGTACATGTACATGCATATATATATACATATATATATGCAGGTATACATACATATATGTATGTTGAATTTGTACACACACCATACATATACATACATCCACATATCTAATATTGACGAGGTCCAGGGACCCAGGAGACGAGCCAAAGCCCCCTCAAAAAGACGGAGGAAAAAGAATGGGGAGCTGAAAGATACGGAAGAATTGGCGGCGCGCAGAGTGGGCAGGGGTAGGGGGGAAGACTTCTTGGAAGGAGTGCGGAGAGGGGGGGGAGGACGAGGAGCAGTCCGCAGCCGCGTCGGCTCAAGCCTTTGCCCGAACACTCCTCCGCTCGGGGGTCGGGCCGTGCTGCAGCGATCACCCGCGGGTGCCCCTCGTATACCCTTTCGCGTGCACGGCTGCTGCATGCGACGCGGGCAACACAAACGGGCCTGCTCAACACACATATGTGACCTTGCAAGCCCGGTTCGGCCGCGACACAGCGTAACGAGTTCTCCTGGAGAAGATTGGGAAGAGAACGATGACGGAGATGATGATGGTGATGGCGATGGTGATGGTGAGGGTGAGGGTGATGATGATGATGATGACGATGATGATGGTGGTGGTGGTGGTGATGATTGTGATGCTGCCGGTCATGATGAGGATGATGATTATCATGGTGCTGCTGCTAGCGATGATGATGAAGAGGAAAGGGATTCTGATGATGATGATGATGAGGAGGAGGAGGAGGAGGAGGAGGAGGAAACGACCGTAGAGGGGGATGGGGGAGGAGGAGGCTGAGGAGGAAGACGCATAGGGCGGAGGCGGAGGAGGAGGAGGAGGAGGAGGAGGAGGAGGAGGAGGAGGAGGAGGAGGAGGATACTGGAGCACGAACAGCGCCAACTTTCTGGCCCGTCGCTGCCCGAGGATACCGCCGCCCGTTGAACAGCCCGCGAGGCCAGAACTCTGGGGTGTTCCAAAAGAACTGCCAGCCCGTCACCTGGGCGGGCAGGAAGGACAGGAGGAAGTGGAGGAGGAAGGATGGGGAGGGAGGGTACGAGGAAAGGGGGAGGACGGGGAGGGAGGGAGGGGGGGGGGGTGAGGGAGAGAAGGGGGGAGGAGGATACGAGGAAGGGGGGGGGAAGAGGGGGAAGGAGGATACGAGGACGGAGGGGGGAGGGAGGATAAGAGGAAGGGGGGGAGGAAGTGCTGGCGGCCAAGGGGGCTGGTGCTTTCGGAGGAGGAGAAAGAGAAGGAGGAGGAGGAGAAGGAGGACGAGGAAGAGGAAGAGGAAGAGGAGGAGGAGGAGGAGGAGGAGGAGGAGGAGGAGGAGACGAGACGAACCCATCGAATCTACCTCTGTCTGACCAAGCGCCAGCCTTGCACGGGATTCTGGGCGTGGATAGCTTCGACCCCTACGGAAATCTTCTATATAACGTAACCTGCAGCTCACTCTCCTCAAGTGAGGCACTGGCCTGCCGGCGCCCTTGAAGCACGCAACCTCGGATGAGGGCCGACTCGGACGTCGCGGGAGACAGCGTGAGTAAACAGCTTTGCTCTTACTGCTGACTCTCGCTAGTCGGCGCTCTCCCCCTCTCCCGACCCCGACTCACCGCCCTCCCCCTCGCGCGGCCAGAGCCTCGGCGAGACAATGCTACACATGGGATGCTTGGAACCTCTGCCTGCCCACATGATGACGGCATGCTCCTCACCCCTGCTGGCGCTCGTGCTGCTACCTCTGTCGGTACTCATCCACGCTCTACAAGGGATGCAAATCTCTTTATGTTGCCACATGATTTGGCGTTCGCTGCTGACGATATCTCGTGCTCCACTGGGGCACTCCCGTGAAGCCTCTCCCCCACCCGGTCTCCAGGACCCACAACAAGAGGTCCTGACTTTGCTGGCCGATCGGACTGTGCTGATCGAATCGCATGATCACCATGCATCGTTAATCCGCTTCGTTCTTCTTCAGCAGCTTGAAGCGGACATGCTTCACCGCGGCTCCGAGCGTCAGGATGCTGCTGGTCGCCGCCGTGTTGGTCCAGAATTCGTCGGCGTCCGACTTCAGCTGCTTCTGCTTCTCGGCGCTGTCCCCCTCCGCGAACTGACGTGTCGCGATGTAATGAATGCCCGCCGCGAACACGTGTAGGTGCGGCGGCCCTCGAGCTCTGTGACTGCGCTGGCCCGGCCGCTCTTCCGCCTTCACGCGGTCGGCCAACGACTTGCTCTGAATGTCGCGCTGCTTGCCCGCCGTGATGAGAGCCGCGAGGGGGCCCTGCGCCGCGCTCGTCTGGAACGCGACGAACGACGCCGCCGCGAAGTCCGACGTGCCTCGGGCTGTGGCCGGTAGAAGCCGAGCCACCAGAAGCAGAAGTTTGCCGTGCTTATTGTCGTCCTTTCTGTCGTCGCCGCTCTTCTGCGTCTTCTGGGGCGGAGCTCCTCCCGGGCCTGGTGATGCGCCTCCCGTAGTCGCTGCTGGGTTGAACCACGGCGGGGTCTTCAGATCGGGCAAGGCCCCTGCCGCCAGCGGGTCTCTCGCGCGGAGAAGGTTTCGGCCGATGCTGCTGAATCTTCCCAAATGGATGCGAGCATACATGGCAGCGGAGAGGATCCAAATCCGCGCCTTTTTGGTCGCGCACGCAACGCCCAGATGCACCGGGGGGGATCAGCGCCGTCAATGACGTGGGCCTTCTCGTAGAACAGTTGCCTCGAAGAGCAGGCCCAAGGAGATGGCGAGCAGCGGTCACTGTTGTTCAGAATATTTGCCTACAACGCATGCATATATTGCAAGGCGTGAGTGCTGCGGGCGGGTTTCGTGCGCGATGGTGTGCGCGCGAATGATTTAGCGGCGCTTTTCGGTCATGAAATAATGCGTTGCGCATATTGCCCCTCTCATCTGCGACCTTGCACCTGCAATTGCCCTCCTCCTCCTGCCCTAGGTCCTTCCCACCTCGCCCTCCGTCCTTGCACTAGCTGCAATATGCGCGCGCAAAAGGAGGGGGAATGAACGCCCCGAGCTCTCTGGCCTTGAGCTCCGTGAACTAATGCTGTTTTGCATATCTATATATATATATGTATGTATATATATATATATATATATATATGCAGCGCAAAATCCCCGTCGGCCTAAGTCAGCTAGAATACGTTGGTCGATCGCATGATATTCCAACCGTGCCGAAGCAAACTCCATATCCCGAACTGGTTGAGGCGCCCGCGGCAAAGCTGCTGCCGTCGGAGCCCCCCCCTTAAAATGAGGCTCGGGTCCAAGCCTCCCTTCAATTGCGAGCGCGCCGCGGCTGGTAGAGCATCAGAAGGCGGATTACGAATTCGGTTTCGCATCCAGCCCGGCGCTGGTAGCGTGGAACTTGCGCATTGCTAGAGGGGGCGAACGGCGCCATCCTATCGTTCGTGGGCGGCAGCCCCCCTCGTGGCAAGTCGACAAAGATCGGCAGAGCGCCGATCCAGGTGCGCGTGCTCACTTTTCTGGAGGACGAACGGCTCGAGACCCTTAACTCGGGCATTGAGCGCCCGACCTCGCGATGAAGCACGGCGCCACTTGTGGGATAATGTTAGTGGCCGTGCTCCCCCAACCGATGAGAAGCCTGCCTTCGCCACCTCGCAACATCGGTCTACCTCGCGATGCGCCGTGCCCCGAGGCTCTCGAAACGGCCCAATGTAACGGGCGCAGTCTGAACCCGCCCCCCTAGATTGTCGATCTACATGCTCGAGGCGCGCGACGCGCGCGATCGTCGGGATGTGCGAAATGGAAGAACATCTCCTGCGTGCTTATGTCCTGCCCATGTCCATGCAGTTCTAGCCCCATTCCTCAAGTGGACTATCTACCTTCCCCAACTTATCTGGGAAGCCCCGCGACGCGCTGCCCCTATCTGCCAGAGTCATTGTCTGGGAGCCGCCCGCGTACTTTGTGCGTCGCAAGTCTACGGACAAGCGGGCCCAGGAAGAGGCGAGACCTCGTGCCCTCGCGTCCGCTTGTAAAAAAGGATCGGTCCGACCTACTACTGCTCTCGAAAACGTGCCCATGAAACCCTGCGCAGTAGAGAGGGCCCTCCCCCACGGGACCTCCGCGCCGTGGTCGCGCGAGATGGGGGCCCTCCTGCGCGTCGAGCTCAATGGCGGCCATGTGATAGCGCTTACGACAGAGGAGTCGGTCGTGCTCAGCTGCCGCGAGGGAAACTGTCTTGCAAATGAATTACCCATGTCAGTAAACGTGCTGCAATGCGTTATCCCCCATCTTCTAGCCCGCCGCTCTGAAGCTTAAGCACTTGGAACTGCATTCTCGCGTCGTCGATGTTTTGCGAAATCATGGTCGGTCACCGTCGGAGTGGCCTTCGGCTCGCGCGAGAAAAATCGCCGCCCGCGAGCGGCAGGGCGTGGGCCGCGCGGACCTCTTTGAGCCCCTCCCTCAAGTTCTTCAGAATGTTCACGCCCTGGGGCTTGTTCCAATGAAACGGCGCCTCCTGGTGCCCCCTATCTTCGCCCAGAAAGCGCCCGCGGTGATGCCCGATTTTTTTTCGGCCCCCAGCCCAGCCCGCGTTCGAACGCGATAGTTCGGCCACGCGTATTGATGCCAGACCTCCAGCGGTGCGGCCCCCGCGGGAGCCGATTTACTTTTGGGGGCCCGCCTTGCGTGCCTTCTGATAGCCTGCGCGTCATCTTTACGCGACGCCAGAATCTCCTCATTCGAAACGTCGGAGTCGAAGACCCCCGCGTCTACCCGAGCCCCTCCAGTCGCCCCGGGATTCTTCGACTACCTGCGCGCCCCCTTCCGCCCCAGACTTGCCCCGCACCGCGAGCAAATATTCATGCTCGCGACTGGGGAGAGCACGGCGCGCTAGACGACCATCGCGACGTGCGGGCCCGCGCCGCGCGCGGGCTGCGCGACGAGCGAACTGCGTGCCTGCTGCTGTGCGCCCATGATGCCAAATATCAGCCGCCTCTGAAACGCGCCGGGATCGAAGCCCGCGCGTCACTCGGCGTCGATCCAGGTGGAGCTGGGGAGTCAACTCCTTCAGCTCCTGATCTATGCGAAGGGCCTCCTCGGGTGTTGCTATGGCCTTTCCACCCCTAGGTTGTGCTCTCTTTGCCAACAGAATTCGGCGCTTCAAGCAATCCGTTGGATATGCCGGCCTTAATTGAGCCCGAGCGAAACAAGCTTGACCTGACTCCACCAGAACTCGTTCAAACACCTCGAAGATCTCGTCGGGAGTAGCACCAGCACGAAACAAATGCAGATGAAGTGAATCACCCCGTGTCTTAAGAGCTGGCAGAAGCTCTGCGCGCCCTCGGCCTTATCGTAGAGATAACACCAGCCGATCAATATTCCATGGCTCTTGCTGGGTTGGTTCGACAACTGCGCCTCCATGCTTCTCATGCCGTAGGACAGCCACCACGTGGCTTGCAGCTTGGCATCCATGCGGTAGTGTGCCCGACATCTGACTACTGATTCATGCATCGCTTGTGGAAGAAAAAGATAACCAATTCGTGAATTACCAGTCGTGCCAACAAGCGTTGATTCAATCTCCGTGCCGAAAGTGTTCGCGGCCACTAACCCATGAGCCTCCATCGGCGTGCGCACCCGATGACCTGCACCGTTCACGTACGTTTCACCATTGGGGATGCCAACCACTGGGGACTCAATCGGCGGCCACATTCCGTCCGAACGTGCTTCGCCCATTCCGACGTTCAAATCACACAAATATATGGGCGTGCCACTGACAAGGGACGCACATCACATTGCTGCCAACCGTGTGATAATATCAACATATGTCTTGAAATCGCCTCCGTGCTGTGCTCGTGACTTAGGACGGGGTGGTAAATCACAAGCAGAACCGTACTTCACTCTGGCTGCCACCGCTCTCCCTCGCGCCTCGGGTGGAGGCGCCTATGTACGAAGTGCGTGTCGAGCTTGTACCTGCGGGCTGAAAACGATGGAACGCCCACAGTTATGATTGCTAAGCGGCGACGGGAAATACGGAGCAGAAATACACAATCTTCCTGCGCAGCGTGCGCACTGAACATGTGGCGCGAGATCATTGTGCTCAATCTGCTGAATACCTGCCAGAAGAACCGTCTCAAAGTTCTGTGTTTCTACCAGGAGTTCACGAAGGCGCTCCACAGAAGTGTGCATGGGGTTGAATGCAACATCCTCAATATAAGCATGCCTATTTTCCCACCGCTGGGCCACAGGTTCCATCCTTACGTGTAGCATCCGCCGAAACACTTCGGGACGCTCGCGGGGAACCCCCCCTTCTGCAATCTTTTGATGAAAAAGGTTTGGAGGAGGAGGACGAGGAGGAGGAGGAGGACGAGGAGGAGGAGGAGGAGGAGGAGGAGAGGAGGAGGGAAGAGGGACGAGGAGGAGGGAGGAGGGGAGGGAGAAGGAGGAGGGAGGAGGGAGGAGGGAGGAGGGAGGAGGGAGGAGGGAGGAGGAGGAGGAGGGAGGGAGGGAGGGAGGGAGGGAGGGAGGAGGGAGGAGGGGAGGAGAGGAGGAGGAGGAGGAGGAGGAGGAGGAGGAGGAGGAGGACGAGGACGAGGATGAGGAGGCATTGGCGGCCAGGAGCAAACTGTCCCCACTACTCGCAGGAAGTGTGGGCCGTGCTGGACCCCTGCTGCCCCGGACGTGTGTCGTGCCGCCTAGCAGAAGGGAGGACCCTGCTCCCATCCCTCGGGACCGTTCCCTAAGCACCGCGTGGGACAAGCGTTCCGACGCCCAGAGTGCGAAGCATGCGCCGCCCGCGTGCCGTGCCGTGCCGTGCGCGCGGCATGCCCGCGCTCTGGAATGCGAAGGATGCGTGTGCCGCCCAGGTGCCGTGCCCGTGCCGTGCCCGTACCGTGTGCGTGCCTGCTTGGTCCCCGCCGCCCTCGCGAGCTCCTCGACGTGGATGAATCCTTACGGCAATTTGGTAAGAATCACTTCGCCTCCGCAACTTGGACGAGCCTCCCTGGGCAGCATGGCAATGCTGAAGAATTTCCGCGTGAAGGATTTATGGTGTTCGAGATCTCCGTGGCAGTCCCCAAGAACAACACGTCGTCTCACATGTTATTAACGCTCGCGCACGTATGCGCCACAATGTTGTTTCATACGGCTTCGTACACGGGGATCCACGGATGCCCACGGTGATATCACGTTTACAATCGGAAGTGCCTGGACTGGATCTGGCGTCGAATGGACGAGTCACATGGCAGAAATGCGAGTGCACGTGTACACTCGGACGTCCAATCTTTCTCATCATGTTTAGCATAGCGTGTCTCGGCCCGACCAGCAGTCGACATATGTCATTTGGTGCCGTCCATACTTGTTCACCAAGGACGTATCACACACATCAGACCGCATGGGCCTCTGATGAAGTAGAACTATTCTCATACAGAGCAAGAGTCGCGAATGTGTAGTAGGGCAATTCAGAGTTGGTAGGGTCGACTTAAATTGAACTGAGTCGTGTGGAGCAGCTGGGGAATCAGCACGCTGAGTGAAGTAAGTGTCTCGATCAGGGGCACGCGCATCATGACAATGTTCCCTAAACAACCTAGCAGGAGGCGGAGGGGGGCACGGGACGGGAGGAGGCGAGGGGGGAAGAGATCGGAACATCCAGCGCGTCACCGGGAACAGCATCCACCGGCACGGCAGCGTCCGCACGCCTCTGCCGCCCCAAAGGTCCTTTGAGGGACGAGTGGGGTCCTCGATCTCCCCCCCTCCTTCTCCTTCTCCTCTTCGTTCTCCTCCTCTTCTCGCTCTCCATGATTCGGCGGAGACAACTTTATTCACGTCTCCCTCCTCACCCTACTCTCTCGTTATCCTCCTCCTCACCCTCCTCCCGCGCGCAGGCAGAGTGAGAGAGAGTAGGGATGATGCTGATGACGATGAGGAGAAGGAGGAGGAGGCGTACTGCGGAATGAGTGATTCGAAGACGGCGACCATGCATCCAGTTGTGCAGGCTCTCCCTTCTCCTCCTCCTTTTTCTCCTCCTCCCCCATCCTCATCGTCATCCTCATCCGCTTCCTCATGCTCCTTCTCCACCTCCTCCTCCTCTTCAATCTCACTTTCACAATCACTACCATCCTTTGTCGTCGTCGCTATCATCATTGTCATCATCATCGATACCACCATAACATACATTATCACGACCACCATCACCATCACCATGATCATTATACCCACTAAAATCACCATCACCGTCAACGCCACAACCATCTTCATCACAACCACCACCATCACCTTCGTCATCATCACCATCATCCTCATCCTCATCCTCATCCTCACCGTCATCAACACCATCATCTTCATGATCAACAGCACCATCATCATCATCATCATCATCATCATCATCATCATCATCATCATCATCACCATCATCATCATCATCATCGCCAACATCATTACAATCATCACCATAATCAACACGACCATCATCATCATCATCATCATCATCATCATCATCATCATCATCATCATCATCATCCTCTCCGTCGTCATCATCATCATCATCATCATCATCATCATCATCCTCGCCGTCGTCGCCATCAGCAGCAGCATCATCATTCTCTCCGTCGTCGCTGCCTCCCGCTGAGGGGGGAACAAATCTCCCAGAAGCTTCGAGACAAGCGCCCTCCACGGCGGGGCAGGGCTGCTCCACGCCGCTCTGTCGGTCGGGAACTCTTGCTTCGCGTGTCGCGGCGGCGGCCCCGCCGGCGACACGCTGTGCCCTGCAAGCGGATAGCGTGTCGCTCGGGACGCTTATGCTTGGGAATGGAGACGTTGATAGCGTGTCGCGCCGAAGCGTGGTGAGTCAGAACCGGCGGAACGACACGCTGAGCCAGAGTTCCTAACCGCATCCGCCACCGTGCCTGCAGCACGTAGTGGAGCGCCCTACGGATCACGCAGCCCCGAAAATTCAGAGTTGTAGGGTTTTTTAAACAGATTGAAGGACCAGGGGCGCTGGTTTCACAAGGATTTCCGCTGATTTCCGGGGATTCCTGGGCATTTCCAAAGGTTCACCGATTTGTTTCCGGGGGTTCCCTGGGATTCCCCAGGATTTTTTAAGATTCCACGGGGTTCCCTGGGCGTGTCGCGCGCGTCCTCCGGTAGCGCAGCCGGCCAAACATGGGCCCAAATCGCGCCCAAGAGGGCCGAAGATGCTTCCGAGAAGGTCCAAGAGTGCCCCAGTGCGCCCAATATGACCTCAACTCGGCCCAAGAGATGCTCCTTGGGTGTTTGAAAATTTTGGCCTTCTCGCCGTTTCGGTTTTCCGACGCTCCGAGACGGAAAACGAGGCCCCCAAGCTCGCCCCAAGACGGCCCCAGAAGCGCCCAAGAGGGCCCTACTCCGGCCCAAGATGAAGGGGCCCTGGGACACACAAATAAATACATACAAATAAAAGGATCCCCAATATTTTATCATATCTTCTGGGTTTTTGCCTTCCCCCCTACCTCCCATATTTTCCTATATTTTCTGGATAATCGATGATTAATTGTGTCTGTGTGTTTTTTTCCCTCCTGACAAGAGGGCCCCACGACGGCCCGAGAAGGCTCAACGAAGATCTCAAGAGGGGGCGCCAGGAGGCCCCCAAGAGGCTCCCAAGAGGCCCCCAAGAGGCTTCCAGGAGGCCCCAAACTTACTACCAAGATGCCCCCGAGAGCGCACCGAAGAGATCCAAAGAAGTATCCCTGAGAACTCTGACCCACAACCCTGGCGCCGTGGCGGGATGGGCCGAAGGCCACTAGATCCGCCGCCCCCTGTCGATTCATCGCAGGGGTACCTGGCGTGCCGAATGATATGGTTTTGGTTTTGGTTCTTTTTCCAAAAGCACTCCCCTTGGGGCTTCGGCCCGTCCCGCCGGGATCCTGGGAGGCTCTTCCAAGAGCTCAACTCCCCCCAAAATCCTCCAAGACGGCTCAAGATGGCTCCAAGATGGCCATGTTGGCCCAAGATGGTCTCCTCCAAGACGGCCCGAGAGGCCCCCAAGACGGCCTCCAGGAAGGCCAGAAGAGGCCAACAACAGTGGTTTTCCACAGTTTTTTGACGGATGTTGACATTTGCTTCTTTTCGGCCTTCCGACGGCCCGAGACGGCCCAAGAGCCCCCAAATATCGCCGAAAGATCGCCCAAGAGGCTTCCAAGGTGGCCCCAGAAGGGCCCAAGAGGGCCCCAAGATGGCCCCAAGAGGCCCCCGAGACGGCACAGGAGGCCTTTAAGACGCCCAAGATGGCCTCCAAGACGGCCCTGTAGCATTCCAAGAGGGCCCCAAGTCGGCCCATAGAGGCCCCCCTAAACGGCTTCCGACGGCGTCAGGCGGACCAGGAGCCCACCAAGACGGCCGAATATGGCCCTAAGATGGCCCAAGACGGCCCAAGAGGCCTCCAGGAAGGCCCGAAAAGGCCAACATCATTGATTTCCAATGGGTTTTTGAAGGATTGTGGCATTTGCTTTTTTTCTGCCTTCCGACGGCCCGAGACGGCCCAAATGCCCCCACAGATCGCCCGAGAGGCCCAAGACACGGCCCCAAGAGGCCCCCGAGACGGCCCAAGAGGTCCCCAAAACGCTCAAGATGGCCTCCAAGACGGCCCAAGAGCCCTCCAAGACGTCCTCCAAGAAGGCCCGAAAGGGCCAAAATGGCCTCCAGACGGCCAAGATGATCTTCAAGATGCCTACGTGTTCCCCGAAGGCTTTCCAAACCGATTCGGGTAACACATGGTCCGATAGCTTGGCAGGTCTGACCTCAACGTTCGGCCACATAGGCGCTTCCAAAAAGGCAGGGGGCGGTGGTGATTCGCCGTAGGCGTCTTCGATCAGCTCTTCGGGTCCTGGTGCATGGCGTTGATGATGTCCTGGTCCCACGCGCAGAAATGGTTGTATCCGCGCTTAAGGCCCTCCCTTGCAGCTCGCAGCGTGTCCTCGGTGTAGTTTGAGCGGCGCATCCGAGACACCTCTGCACTCCATGCTCCTCTTCCTCCTCCTCCTCCTCCTCTTCACCGTCTCCCACTCTTCCCTCTTTCTTCCCCGCCTTATCTCCCTCCCCCTCCTCCTCCCCCCATCGAGCTCCGAGCTGCTGGCAGTGTCGACGCGATGTTCCCCTCCTCCTCTCCTCCCCTCCTCCTCCCCTCCTCCTCCTCCTCTCCTCCTCCTCCTCCTCCTCCCCTCCCCCTCCTCCCCCCCTCCTCCTCCCCTCCTCCTCCCCCTCCTCCTCCTCCTCCGTCTCCTCCTCCTCCTCCTCCTCCCTGCACCCTCCTCCTCCTCCCTGCACCCTCCTCGTACAGCACCACGCCGCCGTTGAAGTTGGTCGGCTTGGTGGCCCGCCAGGACTCCTCCAGGCTGCGGTGGCTGGCCGCGGCCAGAAGCTCGCCGTCCTTCAGCAGGTCGCCCTGGCGCCAGAGGTCCACCACGTCATCGAAGACCAGCACGTCGCCCAGGTCCATCGCGACGGGTCGGGTGCTGCCAGGAGCTGGTCCTGGCCCACAGCTGGAAGCACACGACACGGCGTGGCACGAGCTTTCGGACGTCCGCGCGGACTACTCGGCTCGGAGCTGGGCCTCCCTCCGCGGCGCGCGGAGCGAGCCGGGAGCGGCGCCGGAGGCGCCGCCAGGGAGGCCCAGCGCAGACGCAAGCAATCCGCGCGGAGCTCCGAGCATTTACGCTTACGCTGTGCGCGCCAGGAGCGGCGCCGGAGGCGCCACCAGGGGGGCCCAGCGCAGACCCAAGCAATCCGCGCGGAGTTCCGAGCGTTTATGCTTAGGTCGAACAACAAAAAAAAGGGGCCTAACATATTCAAAGATAGCTAAACAATAATGATAACATCGTCCCCCGACTGTTTTTGGGGGACTATTTTTGAATACATTCTTCCTGTAGGGGGACAGGCCCGACATGCTCATGCTGTTCTTTCCCCCCTCGGCGGAGGGCACCCGCGCCTCCCTGCGAGAGCCGGGGCCGCCCTGGGCCATGGCCAGGCCCTGGCAGCGCCCGAGGTGGCGCGGCCGACGTCGGCGGGCAGGAGCTCGTGGCAGATGAGGCGGGAGAACAGCGCGATGCTCATGTTCGTCTGGGCGCACCCCTGCGGCAGCCGCGCCAGGTACGCCCGCATGCGCGGGTCCTCGAAGACGTCCACGTAGTCGAAGCGGGCCGCCTCCGCCATCCACGGCGCGGCCTTCCGCGCCTCCCCGAGCATGCGCCGCCAGTCGCGGAGGCCCACCGCGTCGCCGAACACGAAAACCCGGAGGGGGGCCGTGCAGTGGCGCAGCACGCTCCTGGAGGACGGGCAGACTGCATAAGTAGGCATAAACTTTCGGAGGCCCGCGCGGATCTCTTGGACCTGCGTTGCACCCCCCTTCCCTGGCGCTCGGAGCGCGCCAGGGGCGGCGCCGGGTGGAGTTCCAAGAAATTCGCACAGAGCGCCGAAAGCTTGCGATTGGCGGCGTAAGGATAGCGTGCGATGTGTCGCCATCGGCCCGCTTACTGCACGCTATCGCCCACCTGTGGGATACCTTGCGCAGAAGAAGTTCTGGCAGGGGCATCGCGTGCGCAGAAGGGGCCCTCGCGGGGGGATCGCCTCACAAGGATAGCGTGTGTTTTTCGGGACATCGATGCAGCGCCAACCGCACGTTGACGCAATTGTTTCCGCCTCGAGCTCCAGAAGGTCACGACCCCGACATCCGCCCAGGCGCCCACGACCGTGACCACGAGCACCACGGCCTCTCGCGGGGGGGCAGCCGTGGCGCGAGGCAGCGAGAAGGACTGGCCGTTGCGCCCCAGCGGCGAGTAGGTGAGCACGTCAAGGGCGGCCTGGAGCGTCTCGTAGTTCCGCAGCGTGCCTCGGATAGACGAGGAGGAGGAGGAAGAGGAGGAAGAGGAGGAGGAGGAGGAGGAGGAGGAGGAGGAGGAAGAGGAGGAGGAGGAGGAGGAGGAGGAGGAAGAGGAGGAGGAGAAGGAGGAGGAAGAGGAGGAGGAGGAGGAAGAGGAGGAGGAGGGGGGAGGAGGAGGAGGAGGAGGAGGGGCGAGATGAGGAACAAAAAACAGGATGGACTGAAACTTCTGGACTTCTGCGACGATTCCTCGGATCGGCGCTGGGGGCCACCCTCCCTGGGTAGCGCGGGGCGCGCCACGGGGGCCCAGCGCCGATCCGAGAACACTCCGCGCGGAACTCTGAAAAGCACATGCTTTTGTGCAACTTCTACGCCTCGATCGGGAGAGGCAACGCTGCCGATGCCGCTACCTCTGGTGAGGCTTCGGGTTACCCATCGGCCGGAAGAGTTTTTTTTTTTTGTGTGTGTGTGTTTTGGTTAATATATATAATAATACTACTACTAATAATAAGGATAATGTTTTTCTCTGGGAGCAAAATCCAGAATGAACGCTGGCCGTGACACGCATATCGAATCCGGAAATCAACGCTCGCCGTGGGCTGCTAGCTCAGTTTGTTGCAAAGGCGGTCGCCTCGGTGGGCGAGCAGTTCGAGTGCCTAGATGGCTCTGGCTCGGCACCCCTTCGGTCGGAAACTCCCATCTGCCACGGGGCGTGCCTGGAGCACGGGCTGGCAACGCCTCCAGGAGAGGGGGCCGAACTCGGGCCATCCTTTGGGTGCGAAAGACGCTCTGTCCCCAAAGCGCGGCAAGCCTAGGGTGCCGCCGCGCGGTCACCCTAAGGCGCGCTTCGAAAACCTCCGACGGGGAAGCACAGCGCATGAGACGGCGGGCATTCAGCGCCGGGAGAAAGGCATCAATGCAAGCAGCTCGCTTTAAAGAGGCCATTGGGGAGTCAGGAACAAGCAGAAGGCAGGAGGGGAACCAGGGGAATCTCACTGGGTCACTGTGGGCACAAATTTCGCCCTGGAGCCATTTTCTCAAAAGAGCTTCAAGGTCAGAGGGCATCTGGAATATAATGAATCGAATCCGAACAGTAGAATCCTCAGAAACGCAACCAAATTTGCATCCCATAGGCTCGGAGTGAAAGCGGGAGGAGGTATATATGGAGCGCGTGATCAGCCTCAGCGGAGCAACGCCGATGTACATCGAGGTCGCATCACAAACGGCCTTGATCGACTGGCACATGCACTCGATCCCACGGGCAGTAGCGGTAGAGAGAAGCTTCCGAGCTCGACGCAGGAGGGTGGCACGAACGGGCTCTGACTGCTGCATGGCACGGAATTCAATGTAGAGTTTCTGTTGCAGCCGCGACGTGTCGCAAGTCAACCGCACAGGGGGCCCTAGATACCACTGCCTCATCCTGCGCGCGTACCCCGAGAAGGATGTCTCATTCCAGCCCGTGTGCCACCTAAAGGGGAGATGCTCTAGGTTGTCCCTCGCCTCCTGCAGCTCCTCCAACACTCCATAGACAAACTGGGGCCTTAAAATCTAGCGAATATGAGTGGCTCGTGAAACCGCCTCAATGTCAGCGAACTCCGTGCGGAATCCCAGGTCCTTCATTTTTGTGGCAATGTTGTAGGAGATCGCGTTCCGAGGGCCAGAAGTCAAACACATGACACTTCCACGGTATTGGTGTATCAAGTGGCGATCACCGGGTAAAGCTGGAGACGGAATAGAAGCTTCGAGAAGCACGTGGCACGGAACGCCAGCGCACTCTGAGCAATCACTAGTCCGAGTTGGCGAGTTTGGTGAACGCGCTCCAACAATCCAGGAATGATCGTCTGCCAGACGTTCTCGGCCGCGCCTGGGCCGATAGGAAACCCGAGGTAAACGGCCCAGGGACCGACTTGAATGTCCGCAAAAGGGCTCCCGTAACTCGCCAGCACGGCCGAAAGACGGACGCAGTCGAGACCTCCGCGCAGCATCAGCTGGCACTTCGAAAAGTTCAGCCGAAGGTTAGCAATGGGCTGGGGCTGCGTCGTCGCAGACAGGAGCGGGGCGGTCTAGATCCGTGAAACCATTCAGCAAGCCAAAGAGAAAGTCGCCCGCATACGCGGTATTGAAGATACATGTTGCGAGCATCGACGACGGATCCAATGCGGGAGGGGTCAACCGCCAATGCGAAAATGAACATCGACGCAGGACAACCTTGTTTAACCCCAGCCTCGATCGAAACAGGATGGAACCTTCTCCCACCCGCCATGGTAATCGCAACATTGCCATCGTGCATCATGCGAAAGAAGCGAACGACGAAGGCAAGCAACTCCATTACTTCCAACGTGTGGAAGAGCCAAACCTGAGACAAGCTCGGGAACGCCGACGCGAAGCCGGTCCGAATAATTGCAGAGCTCGCGTCGTCGCAGAGGTGCCGCACAAGCCCCCGCGCCGCCGCCCTCGCCACATTCTCGATCGTGTCCCTACCTCCAACGCATTTCTGTTCCTTCCCACTTAAGTCACGCGTGTGCTTCACCGCCGGAGAGATGAAGGCAGTCGCGACCAACTTAAAATCAGTATTGCTCATGCTCAGTGGACGAGTGGAGGCAGGGGCGCGCGTCAGCGGGCAGCCAGGCTGGTCCAGCGGAGCAGCTCCCTTAGGAAGGAAGACAAGCAAACTACAAAGCATGTCCGCAGGAAGCCGACCGACCTCACCTGTGAACAGTGTCAGGTAGCAGGAGTACAGGGCGCGCGAGGCAGCAGGGGACCTCCAAACTGCATATGGGATCCCGTCGGGGCCAGGCATGCTGTGGGGGCGCTTGCGTATCATGTCATGCCAAGATGCATAGTCAAGTTTCCATTCGGCATCGATGGGGGGTGAAGGAAGCTTCTGGATATGTGGGTTGATTTCGTTCCAAAGCGACTCTGAAACCGAAGAACGCTGAAAAGTCTAAGCCCGGTGATCACCTAAGACAGTGGCCGGGCAATCCAAGGTCCCACAGGGGCTACCAATGGCGTCCGTGACAGCCCCGAGATAAGTTTCCCTGGGGAGCTCTCCCCGCAGCAGCTGGCGGCGGCGAAGACGGGCGGCGAGGGCACGTCGGCGCGTATCATCCAAGTCAGCTTGCATCAGAACCCTTTTCCCCCTCCTCCAACACCTTCCGATAGAGGCGCTGCGCGTGCTGTGTTAAACCGTGCAGGTCCATGCAGGCGTACTCCTTATCAAAGTGGGCCTCCAGCCGCGGGTGTGCAGTAACTGCTGAGCGCGCGCGGCGGGAGTCACGCGTCATGACCGCACGGAGTGCAGACATCGCCCAGAAGTGCCTCTCCTGGCCTGCGCGGGCCTCGCGTGCGCGCGCAGACTGCCGAGCGGAGTGGCCCGCCTGTAGAAACGAAGAAACATCTCCTTGGCCAGAGAAAAGCGCCTCCAAGCGCCCCGAGACTCAGGAATAGCCCCCGAGAGCGCCTCCACAGCCTGACTGAACTCAGTCAGCCCAGCACTCCACGGAGGAATGATGGGCAGCCTGGGATCGGGGCGGAATCTCTCGATCGCAGACTGAACCGGGATGTGGTCACTCGGCATCGCAGAGCGTAGAGTGCCAATCGTGGAAGTAGAAATGGTAAAATCCATGCGAACTTCCAGTCACCCAGGGGAAGAACATCAGAGATATGCTCATTTCGACCAGGCAGGTAGCGAGCAGCGTCACGCTGAAGAACACGTGGGGGCCCCAGCATGCAGGGCAAACGTGTCCGAAACATTAGGCATGTGCAGATTGTACACAATCAGACCATGCTGACCCCTGAGCTTACTCTTAATGGTCCTCCCCACGATCAGTTCCGAATGCTCGCTGCGGTGAAACAAGAGAGGAAGGAGTGCGAGAAGGCCGTGACGACGCCGCCTTCGCTGGACGAGCCAGGCGCGAATGAAGATGCAAAAGCGTGGCGAGGTAGCTCGCGCTCCAATTCAGCAATGTCACCCTTGTGCCCATGAGCCTCCTGAGCTGCTGTAGTGTCGTCTGTGCTGCGCGATCGTATGAATGATCTGCATCGAGCCGAGGCCCGCCACGTAGTGGTTCTGATTGAGGCGAAGAGCGCATCTGTGTTCCAAGAACAGATAGACAACGCGGACGGGGGAAGCAAGGGGAAACAAGAAGACAGGGGGGGAGAAAGGACAGGAAGGTTGGGGGCATCACCGTGCTCGCAGCCCTCTTCAGCGTGAAAAAGGACCGCGAAGCTGAATGGCCGCGGCTGCTTGCACTTCTGGAATCAGGGAAATGATTCCGAACTCGGCGGAGATGTCACGATCGCATCCACAAGAGACAATCCCAACCGCATCGACTTGTACCTTAACAGCCGGCACAGGGGTCATGTTGGCGCCGCGTGGTATGCACAGATCCCCCAAGACCTGTGCTGCCGACGTCGTGCCCAGGGGCAAGGGCCAGCGTCAACAACGATCGAACCTTTCCAAGCGACAAGAATAGCTCCCTCGAGATAATATCGAGGTTTCTGCGCAAGCGGAGGGAAAGAGGGGCATCAGGGTGGAGGGGGTCGGGCGTAGTCCAGGCACCACCTGAACGCACATCGTTATCTAAGAGTGAACTGGCAGCATTCGCATTTTTCAAACAAGAACGAAAGCTTCTGCGAGATATCGAAAGCACGAACAACGATATTACCGTGAGCACACTGCGGAGCAAACTGAGCGACACATCGAGCACTGATCCCCCTGAGATCGGCAATCCGAAGTGGGCGCGGAAAGAGCCAACGAGCACAAGGTTGCAGGCATCCTTCTGCAGGCGCTCGCTGTTGTTACCCTGGTCCCTGTGCACAGCAGTGCGCGAGGAGGACGAGGAGGGAGACGTGGCGGCCTGCCCGGCAATGCTCTCCAGCTTCCTGTTGGGGGACCTCTGGGCCTCCTGCAACACAGACAGCTGATGCACGATGTCCGCCCATTTGGCATCGAGCTCGGCGTCGATATCGGATTGAGACGTGCTGGTGTCCATGAGCTCGTGCGACGACGAAAACTCTATCCTGAGCGCCTCGATCTTCGCGTCCTGTTGCTGGAGCGAGTGGTGAAGGTCATGCTGTGGCTGAGCGTGCCGTTGGTAGAGGTCCCTCGACATCAAGATGGGCTGGTCGGTCAGCTCGCTGCATCGGGTGATCGATCCTTGTACCGACGCTTTCAGATTGACGACACCTTGATTGTTTTGCAGCACCATTTGATTGAGGCTCTGCAAACTCCCGGTGATCACCTCCAGCTTACACATGACACCTTCACCATCTTGCAAGCGTTCACGGCGAGAGTCGGGACTGCGACTGCCGGGACGTCTCTGAGAAGTCGAATCAGAAGATTCACTGCGGCCTCCAACTCCTCTCCTTTCAGACCGTCGCTTCCCCCCCATGGCGGCAGACTGAAAACAAAGGGATCGAGAAGGCAAAGGTAGCGGTACGGCTCCACCAAGAGCTCACACAATCGCGGTGGGGTGCGGAGCCTGTGCCGCGGGCCGCTCCACTGGCGACCACGGGAACGGTCCTGCACCACCTCGAGAGATGTGTTACTTGAGCCAAAATGGTTTGAGCCAAAATGGCTACGGAATCGGTCGGAAGAAGTTGGTAGAACCATGAAGTACGAAGGCGTTGGAAGTAGATTGGGTTTCAGCCCGCCTCCTGTAGAGGAGGGAAGAGGGAAAACCACTCGACTCTTGAAGTAGGAAAGCGGCTAAAGTAGATTGGGTACAGGGAATCCCGAAATGCCTACTCTTAACGACCGACGGCTACGCGCAGACAACCCCCCAACTGATAGTCCCGGCTGGCCTGAGCAGGCCCCGGGAGTAGCCCGGGGCAGTCTCAACACCATGGCGCCGCCTCCAGCGGCGCTCCGCGCCCCAGGGTTGGGGCGTTGAGGGAGCGCCCTGCGGGGGGGCCGTTGAGGCCAGCCAGAGGCAATTACCTGGGGGGCCGTCTGCGCGCAGCCCGAAGCCTCACCATGCCTGTCCCTCGTCGCCGCAGCTGGACTCGCCTCGAAATCCTGGCCAGAACGCGCCATGGGAGAGGTCTGGGGAATAGCGATGTAGGCAGCTTCTTGTCTCCCCGGTGCCAGAGAAGGCGGGCAGCAACTCGGCGAAGTCCACCTCCACGGGGGCCTGTGCGGATCTCTGCGCGTGGGTGTACCACAGCGCCTGGAAGAACGCCTCGCTGAACTGCGCGGCGTAGTTGAGCTCTCTGCTGACCGCCATGGCCTCCTCTCGCTGCTCGGGAACGTCGTCGAAGAAGGCATGCCCAGCGCCCTTTCCGATCAGGTTGTCGTAGCGCATCACTGCTCTTCTAGTCAGCACCTGCGCCAGAACCTCCCAGGCATCTAGGCTGTGCGTGTGGATCACCGTGATCACAATATTCAGGAGCAGAGCCAGTGCAGCGAGATCATGGATATTGGACGTCGGCACGAGCAGCCTGATGCGGTCCGCCATGCCCTCCATCGCTCGCGCCCCGCAGCAGTCGTCGAAGCTTCTGTTCTGAGTGCCTTGTGAGGATTTATTCGGTGTGTGCTGCCCATCCTCTGGCAGGAGGTGGGGAGGATGATGATGATGCTAATGCTGATGCTGCTGCTGCTGCTGCTGCTGCTGATGCTGATGATGATGATGATGATGATGATGATGATGATGATGCTGATGCTGATGCTGATGCTGATGCTGATGCTGATGCTGATGATGATGATGATGATGATGATGATGATGATGATGATGATGATGATTTTGATGCAGATGATGATGAGGAGGTAATGGAAGGACAACATTTGATGGAACGCCTGTTGGTGCGAAGCACGTCTTGCCAGCATCTGCACAGCAGTCCACCACGAGCTCGACGCGGGGTGGGGGCCCAAGGGAGGACTGCGCCACCATCTCCTCTACCCACTCCCCGCCCTCCACCTCCTTTTATGCTCCTCCACCAGCAGCTCTGAACGTCCTGGCCTGGCTCTGGACGTCCTGGCCTGGCTGGAGCGGGTTCAGTGCGCTGGGCCCCTGGCCGAATGAGGCCAGACTTGTCTCACTCGAGGCCCGGCCGTGGCGGCGAGAACTCCAAGAGGATGTGGAGGCGAGGGGGCGAGGAACACACGCAGGAGGAGCAGCCGCGCCGGCGGCCGCACCAGCAAGCCTTGCGCGTCACCTCACTCTTTCACTCAGCCTGCAGCTGGCTCAGTCACAACTGGCACCCCACTCAGAGGAGCCGGCCCCTCTGACACCGCCGCCTGCGGCTTGCCGAAAGCGGCTGGCTGCCAGTGCTGGCCCACGGCTGACGCCCGCTTGGCGCCAGGGGTGCCCACACCATCGCGTGCGACCTGCTTCTTCATCCTCCCGCCTCCCTTGTCCTTACGTGCGATCGCCGCGCGGCGTCCGTCCAGCAGCGCTGGCGGACGCCAGCGCGAGTGCCGCCGCCCGCATCCGCCGTGCCCTCCTCGCTTGGGCCCCCGCCCCTGCTGTGCGGCCAGCAGCTCTCCCTCTTCGCCTCCCAGGCCCTCGCCGCCATTGCCTGTTGAGAGGGCAGAACGCCCGCCCTGATAACAAGCACCCCTAACATAGCTCTCGCAGCTGCTGATGAGAGTGGTGGGGGCGGTGCCGATTGTTTTCGTCAAGTCACGTGGGTGGGTCGCGGAAAGGTCGCGGGCGGGTCGCGGGTGGGGCGGGTGGGTGGGTCGCAGGGGGGTCGCGGGGGGTCGTGGGCGAGGACGGCGACAACAACAAACAACAAGCAACAGACAACAATAATAGTCCTCACCGTGGATTGCCCCAAAATTAAACATTTCGCCCAATCTGCGAAAATGCTTTACAGCTTTCGAATATCTGTGTGCATGATACTCGTTTTGCAGGTTCGACAGGAATCATCAGTTCTGGGGTATAGCAATTTTGTAATCGATCTCCTATCCGAAGACCGCTCGGCTCCCTCACTCTGACAAGCGAAGCTCTACAGTAAACGCGCCTCTTGAGGGCACCGAGCATGGCAGAACCGTTTCGTAACTGAACCAGGCTGTTTGGTAAAAGCGACAGATGTTGGGGCCGGGACTTCACTGAACCCCTGGGGCTCTGGGGCTTTCCCCAAGACAAGTTCTTCACGCCGAGCAGTACTTTGCCGAACGCGGCGAAATCCTGCAGGACCCGGCCCAAAGACCGTTACCCATCGTGGGGTGCGTTTTGACACAAGAACTTCGGAAGGAATTCGGCTGTGGCGATGGCGCACGCTCCAGCGGGCCCGGAATGTGGGAGAGGCACATCAGGAAGAACCTCGAACCCTCCAAGACCCAGACATCTGGCCATCTGGACTTTTTCCAGGCGCCTCCCCCGGACGTTGCGCCCCTGGTCCCCGGGCTCGCCTCTGCCATGCCGGGTATACACACGCATTGCCCGGCGGTTCCCGGGCCCGCGAGCGGCCCGGGGAGGCCGAACACGGAGCAGCACCTCCGCCTGGATCCTTTGAGAACGTTGGATGTCTTGGAGGTCTGCTGGCCCGCGTAGAATTGGTACGGACAAACATCGGTACAGTCGGGGTCGACTGGAGAGGACACGCGAGAGGACACGCGAGCCTCCCGAGGGCCTCCTTGCCGTGGGGATGCAGAAGGCATGGGTCGCGAAACACAGGGCACAAGGGCACCCTTGATTTGGCAGGGTCGACCTACTAATCAGGCTCGACGGTACGGTGCCCAGCAACCAAGAATGTTCAAGACCGGCAGCGCGGCCGCTGTTTTTGCCAGGCGACCCTCTGCCTCCAGTGGACACCGTCCGCAGCGACACCAGCATAGACAAGGACTGCTGTCCGTCTTCTAGAGGCCTCCCAGATGGGGTCCGAGGCTGGTGCGTCGGCGATACATCGGCGACGTGGGCGATGGATCGACGACGTCGGCGTGGAGGAAATCGAGCTCCACATCGAGCCGCATCGCCGATGCATCGGTGATGCGGTGCGCGTCTCCGACCCCATCTGCTCTAACCCCATCTGGGAGGCCCAGATCTTCGTCCCCGTCCTTTCTGTACCCATCTCGATCGTACCAGTCTATGCTCCAGCTTGGAGGCGGCTGGGGGGTCCGCATTGCTTGGGACCTCAGAAAGAAAAGCCAAGAGGGGGGAGCCAGGCAACTCTGCTCACAATCGGTCCCCGGACCCCTCCCGGGGCCCCTCTGGTGCAGTTCTCCGTGCCGCATCCGTTCTCTGCTGGCCGCGGGGCCCACGCAAAACAGCCCTCGCAGGCCGAAGGGGTCAGGACACCGCCTCGAATCGAACCCGGGACCTCGAACTTACCCACTGCACTCCCGAGGGGGCCGCAGGCCCGCGGAGTCCGCAGCGCCCCTCCACCGCACCGCGCCGCGCCGCCGCGGCGGCCGGCGCGCCCTCAGAGGCCGAGAGCTCCCCGCCCGAGGGGAGAGGGACCTCGAACCTCTTCCCCCCAGGCCGGCTCGGGGCCCCGGACCCCCGGGCGCCCACGGCGAGCCTCGTCGCCCTCGAGCCACCGCACCGCCATCGTGCGCCCCGCGGCCGCGCGGCCCGCCAGGCGGCACCAGGCGGCCGCCGCCAGCGCGGCGCCGGGCCGCCCGAGGATGCCGCCCATGTGGCCCGCGGGAGGCCTCGCTCGCGGCGGGCCGCTCGAGCCCAGGGCCGCAGGCCTCGGGCCCGAGGTGGTTTCTTCGGCCAGGGCGCCCGAGAATCCTCGGCTTCGGTGTTTCCTCGGCTTCGGCGTATCCTCTTTCCTCGTCGTCGTGCTCCCTCCTTCCCTCCCCACTCGCGCAGGCATGAGCCTGGTCCGCGCCGCTTCGGGCGTGCAGCAACTTCTTCTGACCCTTTGGCACCTTCACCAGGCTCACCTTGCCGTTGCGGAGTGCTCGTCGCCCAAGAGTTCATTGGTCAATGCCGTGACTGGTGGATGAAAAACAAGGGCCCTCTTCGGGCCCTTGGGCAATGAAACGTAGATCTGGGACGTAAAGCTGGCCGCTGGGAGGGGTCGGGGCTTGGAAGCCCTCAGATCTGGGCGGCGCAACAGGTCGTGACGGCATTTGTTTCACGGCTTTTCTGGAAGAGAAAACGGCATGCATGTTGGCGCTCCGCGCGGATTTCTTGGATCTGCGCTGGACACCCCTCCCTGGCGCGCGGAGCGCGCCAGGAGCGGCGCTGGAGGCGCCGCGGGGGGGGCCCCAACGCGGATCCAAGAAACCCGCGCGGAGCGCCGAAAAATTATGTTTATCGCGTTCTTTCTTCGTCGATGCTCTTCGGCATTCAGAAGCCGTCTCCCGGCACCAGGGCCGTCACGAAACAATGCAAGATGAAAAACCAGCCCCGAGGGACAGGTCGAAACCCGTCACGGGAAAATGTGTCGTCGGAGGATGGGGTCGATTGGGGGCCCCGAGCATGGGGTCTGAATCCCACCCGCCCCTCAGGGCGTGAGTGGTTTAGGGCGTTCCGTCCCTTCATGCCCGTCGGGGAGGGGCTTACCCCTCCCCCTCTCCCTCCTCTTCCGCGAGGGGTTGGAGCGTCCAAGATGGGGTGCCCCAAGACGGCCGTAGGAGGTGCCAAGGAGGCCCCGAGGGGCCCCCACGATGCCCCTAGGAGGCTCCCAGGGCCCCACGAGACCCCCCAGAGGCACCCAAGGCGCCCCGAGATGCCTCGGCGAAAGGGCCAAACTCGTGGAATCTACGCAGGTTTTGGCCACCTGTCGGTCTCCAGGGCGGGAGCCCTCTCTGCGGCCCCTCCTGCTTCGGCCTCGTGGCCCCAAGATGGCCCCCGAGGCTCCCAAGGGTGTCCCAGGAGAGTCCCCAAAGATATGCCCAGGAGGCCCCAAGAGGCTCCCAAGAGGCCCCAAAGATGCCCCCCAGAGCTTCCCAAGAGACCCCCAGACGGGCCCCCAGAGGCACCCCCCTCAGAGGCACCCGAGACAGCCCAAGAGGCTTCGGTGAGAAGGCGAACATCATTCATTTTACGCAAGTTCTGGCCACGTGTTCCTCCAGGTGGGTCTACGTAAGGGGCCCCCCTCCTTTGATCGATCTCTTCCAGGATGGCCCCAAGATGGCCCCCGAAGCCCCCCGCACACTGGCTGAAAAGCAGCTGGATGCCTATGTCCAAACTGCTCAAATACTTTAACAAGCCGAGCGCGCCGCCGCCTTGAGCGGTGGCGCCGGTTTCACGCGCGGCCACACGGTCCGCCGACGTGAGTCAACTGCAGTACACGACGGCACGTCGCAGGGTCTGCCGCCCGGCGTGGCAGCGGAGCGAGAGGGGAGGGGGGGCGCGGAGAGGAGGGCACTCCTCGCCGGCCGGACTCGTGCAGACGCGACCACCAACACCACCGACGACACCACCGCGAGGGGGGGTCGCGGCGGGGGGCGGAGGGTGGTCGTCGAGGTGATCATGCCGTCGACGCTTCGGTCGCCGCCTCCTCGTCTCGCGGGCCCCAGCCGCCGCCGCGCCACCCAGAACACGGTCGTCGAGGGGGCCGCCGTCGT